ACGGGAGGGCTGTCTATCATCTGGACGCCCAAATTGATGCAGAAAACTTCGTCAAGTGCTACACCGAAAGGAGCAGCATGGATATCAGAAACGTCGCTGATCACGGCAGGAAGAAGCAGGCCCTTCAAAACAGACAAAAACTGGCCTCGATCATCAAAACCGTGCTGCTCTGCGGGAGACAAGGAGTAGCTCTCCGAGCTCACCGTGAGGAGGGAAATGTGATTGAAGAGACCGCTTGTAATGATGGAAATTTTCGAGCCCTCTTGAGATTTCGCATCGACGCCGGGGATACCTGTCTGCAAGAGCATTTGCTCAATGCCACTGAAAGGACTCGTTACATCAGTCCTAGAATTCAAAACGAGATAATCGATGGAATCGGCGAACTTTTCCGGAAGAGAATATCAGTTGAAGTTCAACAATCCGGCTTCTTCTCCATACTAGCCGACGAAACGCGGGACAGTGGAAAAATCGATCAGCTCACGCTTTGCTTGCGCTACGTAACATCACGAAACGACCGAAAAGTAGTTGTAGAAAACTTTTTGATGTATTGTGAAGTTTCTGACAAGACTGGTGTTGGTTTGGCTTCACAGATTTTGAGGAATCTTACCGCGCAGAATATCGATGTGACAAAGATGCGGGGACAAGGTTACGACGGGTGCAGCGCGATGAGTGGTCGATTCAAAGGCGTGCAAACTGTGATCAAAGCGAGTATTCCAGAAGCCCTCTACGTGCATTGCGCGAGCCACTGCCTGAACCTCGCAGTTGTTCATTCTTCGGAATGTACCCTCATACGGAACACAGTCGGCACTATTGGGAACATACGTGCTTTCATATCGAATTCCACTTCTCGCATCAGAATCCTTGAAGAACAAGTTGCGCTCCACTCCGATACTACCACTGCTCGTCGACTGAAACCACTGTGCTCGACTCGCTGGGTCGAAAGCCATAAAGCTTTCATTAACTTTAAAGAGATGTTCGTTCCAATTGTTGGCGCCTTGGAAGAGATTTCCGCGAAGGGGAACGATGCTAGCCGCGCCAAAGAGCTCCTATCAGCACTCTGTAAATGCGAATTTGTGACAGCTCTTCTCGTCATCGAAAGTTTCTCTTCGCTGCTTCTTCCCCTCTCTGTCGCCTTAAAATCGCCAGAGCTCGACCTACTAAGTGCTCTTCAGACCATAGACAATGTTGCAGCAGTCTTGCGACAGCGCAGGGACAA